TTTTCCCTAAAAAAAATGAACAAAAAAACCCCCTCTTATTAACTCCTTTCTAGATGTGTTGCAAGTACTTTCCTATTCTATTCCTTGTCCTTTAACTTTTTTTATATGTATATTACTGTATAGTCTTAAATGTTTAATACAATCATATTGTCAATATTTATAGCTTCTTGGGTTGAATATTTTACTTCAGGTCATGAAAAAATATTAGTTCTATTTTCTTGTAAAACTCCTTAGATTCTACATATTGATTTTTAACTCATCTAAATATTTCTTGTATAATGTGTGAAATAGGGTTCTATATTTGTTTTATTTCAAGTAATAGTGGTCCATGCACCTTATTTGTTGAATAAGCCTTATTTTCCCCATTGATTTGAAATATAAACTTAATCATATATTATATTGTTAGATATATACATTTGTCTCTAGAATGCTCATTATATTTCATTGATCTAATTGATTATTTCTATGCTGGTGTCACGTTGGTTTAATTGCTGAGGCTTTATAATAGTTTTAATGTTTTAAAATATTTTATAATTAACTTTGACATTAAAAAAATAAAATCAATCTGCATTTAAGAAAGAAAGAAATAAAAAGAGAAAGAGAGAGAGATATGGAACTCCTACCTTCTGCAACAACATGGATGAAACTGGAGAATATTAAGCTACGTGAAATAAGCCAGTTGATGAAAGACAAATACCATATGATCTCTCCTATAAGTGGACTCTATTCAACAAAATAAACTAACAAACAAAATAAACCACAGGCATGGAAACATGGAACAGACTTAAAGTGACCAGAGAGGATGGGGAAAGAGGACAATGGTGGAAAGAAAGGGAAGGGACTAGACAAAGAACATCTATGAATGACCCATGGACATGGACAACATAGTGGGAATTGACTATGGGAGCAGGGGATGGGGGTGGGATGGGTGGAAGGGGGTAAAGGGGTAAAAATTGAGACAACTGTAATAGAATAAACATGATTCATAAATGTAAAAAAAATAAAAATTAAAAAAAGATATGGTGTGGAAGAAATATATTTTTTCTTTTTTATTAAAAAAAAGAACAGAGAAAAAAGATGCAAAATAAGTAGAGCCTCAGAGAAATATGGGACATTGTTAAGCACCAACCAAAATATGCAAAAAGGTAGTATTGGAAGGAGAGGAGAGAAATGAACAGAAAAATGTATTTGAAGAAATAATGATTGAAAACTTCCCAATTCATTGAAAAACTCTAGCCCATAACCAGTAAGCTTAACAAACTCCAACTAGGATAAATGCAAAGGCCCCACAACCAGACACTGCATAGTAAAAGTGTTCAAGTCAAAGAGAAGAAAATGTTGAAAGCAGCAAGAGAAAAGTGACTCGTCACTTATAAGAGAATCCCAGTAAGATTAACAACTGATTTCTCAGCAAAAGCAATGGAAGCCAAGTGGCAGGATAACCTATTTAGAGTGCTTTCAAAAACACACTGTTAACCAAGAATCCTATATCCTGCAAAGGCTCAGATTCCCTCTGAGTTCTAGGTTGATGGAAGTGACTTCTCAGTAGATGTGGCTATTTGGAAGTCCCTGGGGAACTCGGGCTCACCATTTCCAAAGCTGTCCCCATCATCTTCTCCACCCCCATCCTAAGTGTACTTCTGTCTCCATGCTCCCCACCTCAGTAAATGGACCACCCTCCACCCAGGAACTCTTTCCAGACTCCTTCTTCCACAGCCCCAATCCCCAAATGCAAAGTCACTCCCCCCAACATCCCTCTGTTGTCTTGCTTTACCTCATTTTCTATACCAGTTTCTCAACTGTTCTGCCTCCACTTTGCCTCCTTTCTGACTCATAGTCCCCACAGCAGCAAGAAATATTTTTCTAAAATGCAAATCAGGTCCTGTCTCTCACATACACACCATCAAGACCCATCCAGGTCTCCCCATTGCCTTTCTTATGGCAGGTGGCAGTTGGCAGGTAAGGCCCCTTCTTTTCTCTGGCCCCTGCCAACCCATGTAGCCTACCCCTCTGCTCAGTCTACACCAAAATTGCTATTTTCAAAATGGCTTTGCCTGTTTATGATCCTACCTGGATGTTGTACACTTTGCTGGCGGTGAAGTTGCTCCCTCTTCTGCACAGTTAATAGCCACATCCTTGCACTCCACGCTCTATGTGAGACACACAGCTGAGCTACCTAGGCCATGAGTGAGATGCTGGTGGCCAAGGGTCCCCATGAATAGTCCCAGCCAAGTTGCTTTGACTATGTGAAGATGGGCTTTGTGATGGGTTGCTCTATGGGCATGGTGACTGGGGCGCTTCTTGATACCTTTTCCTGTCTCGGGATTGGAATGCAGGGTCAGGAGTAGATGGGGGGCATCGGGAACCAAGGCGTCAGTGAAACCATGATACAGAGTGGAGTTACCTTTAACATGTTCATGGCTATTGGGATGGGCATCCAGTGCTAATCTGGGCAATGGTTGCCCACATCCACCCCATTCCATCAGTCCCAGCCCATGTACTATAATAAAAAGACTGAGTAGTTAAAAAACCAAACCAAACCAAACAAACAAAAAACCCACATCCTTTAAGACACAAGCTCAAGTGGGCCTCCTCCAGAAAATCTCCTGATTCACATTCTGGGTTAGATCTTATTAGATCTTGAGGACACTGGACCACCTCCTCCACAGCATTTGCCATATTGCGTTGTAAGTTTTAAGTTTTCTTTTCCTTAAAAAAATTTCATTTTACTTATTTGTTTCTTATTTATCTAGCTTCCTTACTAGAGCGTTTACCTGTGTATCTCCAGTACCAAGTTCAGTAACCCAGCACATAGTAGATGCTCAATACATGTTTGATGACTGAATGTTGAATGAATGCACAGAGGAGCACAATAGGAAGCAGAAGGAGAAGTTAAGTGGTTATTACAGTGACCCAGGAGGGAGGTGACGGGGCCAAAATCAAGGCTAGGGCAGCAGGGATGAGAAAATGATGGGATTAATAAAGACACTGTCTGAAATCTGCAACACAGGCTTAAACCACAGTAATGAGGCCGTGTGGTTTGGGGCCCTATTTGGGGCTGGTGCAGGAGAGCTTCCCTGGAAGCTGCCCTGTGAGCAGGGGTGAGGTGTGGATTAGTTAGTGAGGACAGGAAAGTATCAATGCAGCTATCCACAGGCCAGCACACTGTCTCTCCCACCCCACTTCAGGGCCTGGGTGCAGTGAGAGGTTTGTGCACCAAGCAAGAACTAAACTTTGGAGTCACACAGAGTGGGAGGATAATTGGGAATATGATGTGAGAATATCTGAGATGAACCTTGAAAATATTATACTAAATGAAATAAGCCAGACACTAAAAGATAAAGACTGTATGATTCCACTTACATGAGTTACTTAGCATAGTAAAATTCATAAAGACAGAAAGAGAAATGGTGGTTAACAGGGTCTGGGGGAGGGGGAAGTGGTGAGTCTGTTTGATGAGAATAAAGTTTTTCTTGGGGAATATAAAAAAACCTGGAGATGGGTGGTGGTAATGGTTACACAACAGTGTGAATGTAATGAATGCCATTTAATTGTACACTCAAAAAGGGGGAAATGGTAAAATTTGTTATGTGTATTTTGTCATGATAAAAAAGTTGCTACTGCCCTGGCTACTGTGGCTCAGTGCATTGAGTGCCAGCCTGAGAACCAAAGGCTTGCCAGTTCGATTCCCAGTTAGTGCACATGCCTGGGTTGTGGGCCAGGTCCCCAGTAGGGGGCATGCGAGAGGCAATCACACATTGATGTTTCTCTTCTCTCCTTTCCACTCTCTCTAAAAAAATAAATAAATAAAATCTAAATTTTTTAAAAAATTTGCTACTAGCCAAAATTAAAGAAAGAAAAGAATATTTGCAATTGATAGGGTGAGTGGTGAATGAGAAGGCTAGAGGGAGGTTTATGGCAGCCTGTCTCTGCTCTGACAGGACTGAACAGGAGCACTGTTCCAATCACCTCAGAAATAGACCACATCAGGTTTCCAACCCTCAGAAACATATCAGCCTGAGGACTGCATACATTCCCCTCATGTGTGACTGTTTCCCTTTCTTCTCCCCTCACAGTGGTAGCTCACCAGTGTGCTGAGAGAAGAAGAGGAATTTTGGAGCTTTGCTCTGGAATTCTCTGAACTGGGAGCTGGTAAGAAGGTGATATGGACTGGAAGAGACATTTGCAGTGGGCCCAGGTCACCCCAGCCTCGGGTCCTCTGTAATAAACGTGACTTCAGCAGGGTCGGCTTGGGCTCTGGGCATGTCCCCAAGGCTGGAGCCAGCCTCTAGAGCTCAGGTTTGACATATGCTGCAGCTGGACATTGGCCTGCTGGGTCTTTGGCTCTGTGATGGTGGCTTATTCTTGAGATACCTTCGTCTTGGGCAGAGAAGGTAGTAAGTTAGATCCACAAACCTTCCCCCATTCCACTCACTGCTGGTTGAATTCTGACTTCGAACAACACTGAATCAGACTCAGGGAGTAAAGTGGGGAAATGCCATTAGTGAGGCATTGGAAGGAAAGACAGGGCATTCTGCGGAGGGACAGGCCTGATTCCAGGCCCTTAGGGGCCATGCTAGTTTTCTGACCTCAGAGAAACAAACATCCCAGAGGGGAGCCCAGAACTGACTCAATCATTATTCCAGATACAGGAGTTTCCTAATTCCCACAGCCTGACCCCAATAGCAACACACTTTTTGCCACCTTAAAGCACAGCAGGAGCTGGAAGAGCAGAGCTGGAAGCTTCCTGAGGAGCATCTCAGACCACTGATGTCCCATCCCAATGATGTGGTCACCGATAGCTAGTTAGGTCAGAGCAAGGACCAGACGTCCATCCCCATCCAACCTGTAGCCTGTCCATGTACCATTGGTACTCTCAGCTCCCCATTTACCTCTAGTGTTTGGGGGGAATATGTCTAGGGCTGGCTCTGCCATCTTGTCATATAGCTCCATGATTTTTTTTTCCCCTGCAGGAGATGCTCTGGTAAAACAAGTATAAAATGAATGACAAGATGTTCTCCCGTTTGGCGGGCACCTTCTCTATCCTCAACACCATCCAGTTCCTCATCTTAGACTTGAACGAGGTTGTGTTCCTTGGCTACGAGGACAAGTTTGACATCTACATGGACATAAAGTATGGGATAGCCTCCTGGATCTTGACCAACAAAAAGAACATCAGCATTAGCCTATCCACCATCACCATCATCGTCAGCTCCTTGCTCCTGTACTGCATCCACGTGAACAAATACATGGGATTGCTGTGTTATGCCATATGGATTGCCACCTATGAGCTCACCAGCTTCTCCATGGTCCTGCTCACCAATGGGATCATCAAAGAGCAGTTCAAGGAGCTGGGTTACCTGCACTTGATCTTCCAAATCTCCCGTATGTTCCTGCACTTCTCCTGTCTGCCCTTTATCATCAAGTATACATACACCCTTTATAAGGACCCCAAGACTTTAAGCAAGATAAGCCGCCGCAGGCACTCGTCCATCAGTACAGTCGACTCGTGGCCATCTGTTGGGCCAGGGATGATGTACCGCAAGATAAACTGAACAGAGCCAGGAAGGAGAGAGAGAGGACAGTGCTCCCCAACAATGGAACCCCCCTTTCCCTACCTGCCTTCTATTGGCTCTGCTTGCCTTTTCAGGGTTCTTGAGTTTTATGCATTTAAGAGTGATTCTTGGTGTGGGGGAGGGTTGCATCAATCAATTATTATGCATGTGTGTGTTTGTGACTTGTTTTAGCATTGAATTATATGTGTACTTACCTAGCCATCTCAGTGGTGCATACTGTTGTCTCTTATGGTCTCCTCCTCTCTGTATGTCCTTAGTTTCTAGTTTTTCTCATGTGGGTTGCCCACAGATGCCTGGTTATATCTGACAGAACTTTCTATGCTGATAGAAATGTTCTGTCTCTGTGCTGTCCTCTAGCTACATGTAGCTCCAGAATGCTTGAAGTGTGACTCTTACAACCCAGGATTTTTCAACGTTTTCTTTCATTTTGATGTCAGTAGCCACATTCGGCTGGCTTGTAGCTGTCACTCTGGAGAGCATGGTCATATGGAGCCTCTCTTTGCTCCTGCATGTGACCATTGCAAGAACCCCTTTCCAGCATCAAGCATCACTCTGCTTCCCTCGTACTTTTCAAAAAGCACTTCCTCATGCTGGTTTTTAACATGGCAAAAAGAATACCCATTCAAGAAAGCTCCAGATTTCTGGCCAAGATGGAAGCATAGGTAGATATACTTTGCCTCCTCACACAACCAAAAGAAGGACAACAAAAAATTTAACGACTAAAAACAACCAGATCTGCCAGAAAATCGAACTGTATGGAAGTCTGACAACCAAAGAGCTAAAGAAGAAACCTTCATCCAGACCAGTAGGGGATGCAGATACAGGCAGCCAGTATGGAGAGGACACACAGCAAGGTGGTAGCTGATGGACCTGGTGGTCCCACATCTGCATGCGGATAAACCAGGAAGAACAGCTGGGGAGCAAGACAGACCACATAATCCAGGGTTCCAGTACAGGAAAAGAAAGCCTCGAAACCTTTGGATGTAAAAACCTGTGGGGGTTGCGGCAGCGGAAGAAACTCTCAGTCTCACAGGAGAGTCCGATGGAGAGAGCCACAGGATCCTAGAACGTACACAACCCACCCACCTGGGAATCAGCACTAGAAGGGTCCAATTTGTTTGTGGGTAGCAGGGGAAGTGACTGAAAACCAGCTGGGAGCCGAGCAAGCAGCATTGCTCCCTCTCTGACCCCTCCCCCACAGACAGCGCCACAACAGAGAGACCTGGCTTGCCCCGCCCTGGTGAATACCTAAGGCTCCACCCCTTACAACGTAACAGGAGCACCAAGACAAAGAAATATGGCCTAAATGAAAGAACAGATCAAAGCTCCAAAAATAGAACTAAGCGAAAAAAAGACAGTCAACCTGTCAGATGCACACAGTTCAAAACACTGGTAATCACGATGCTCACAGAAATGATGGAGTGGGGTCACAAAATGGAGGAAAAAGTGAAGGCTATGCAAAGTAAAATAAAGAAAAATATACAGGGAATCAACAGTGAAGAGTAGGAAACTGGGACTCAAATCAACAATTTGGAGCAGAAGGAAGAAATAAACAGTCAACCAGAACAGAATGAAGGTACATGAATTCAAAAAAGTGAGGAGAGACTAAGGAACCTCTGGGACAACTTTAAACGTTCCAACATCTGAATCATAGGGGTGCCAGAAGGAGAAGAGAAAGAACAAGAAATTGAAAACTTGTTTGAAAAAATAATGAAGGAGAACTTCCCCAATCTGGCTAAGGAAATAGATCCCCAGGAGATCCAGGAAGCTCAGAGTCCCAAAGAAGGTGGACCCCAGGAAGCACACACCAAGGCACATCATAATTAAGTTACCCAAGATTAAAGATAAGGAGAGAACCTTAAAAGAAACAAGGGAAAAGTAGGCAGTCACCTACAAAGGAGTTCCCAGAAGACTATCAGTTGATTTCTCAAAAGAAACCTTGCAAGCAAGAAGGGGCTGGAAAGAAGTATTCAAAGTCATGAAAGGTAAGCGCCTACATGCAAGATTACTCTATTCAGGAAAGCTATCATTTAGAATGGGAGGGCAGATAAAGTGGTTCCCAGATAAGGTAAAGTTAAGGGAACTCATCATTGCCAAGCCCTTATTATATGAAATGTTAAAGGTACTTATCTAAGAAAAAGAAGAAGATCAAAAACTATGAACAAGAAAATGATAACAAACTCACAACTATCAACAACTGAACCTAAAAAAACAAAAAACAAAAAAAACTAAGCAAACAACTAGAATGGGAACAGAATCACAGAAATGGAGATCAGAGAGGAGGGGCAGGGGGGAGAACGGGGGAAAAGGTACAGGGAATAAGAAGCATAAATAGTAGGTACAAAATAAACAGGGGAAGTTTAAGAATAATATAGGAAATGGAGAAGCCAAAGAACTTATGTGTATGACCCTGGACATGAACAAATGGGGATGGGGATCCTGGTGGAAGGGGAGTCTAGGATGGAGGGGAATAAAGAGGAGAAAAAAAAATGGGACAACTATAATAGCATAATCGATAAAATATATTTTTTAAAAAAGTACAAATAGGTAGTTACAAAATAGCCATGGGGATGTAAAGTACAGTATAGGAATCAGAGTATCCAAAGAACTTATCCACACAACCCATGGGCATGAACAATGGTGTGGGGATTGCCTGGGGGAGTGTGCTGTGCTGGGTGGAGGGGGACAAAGAGGGAAAAACTGGGAAAACTCTAATAGCATAATCAATAAAATATAATTTTAAAAAAAGAATTATCAGTTTAAAACTTAAAAAGAAAGCTCCAAAGTTTCTCAGTTTAAGCTCTATTAACATTTTGGACTGGATAATTCTGTCTTATAGAGGGCTATTCTATGCATTGCAATTTGTTTAACAGCATCCCTGGCCTACGACCACTAGGTGCCACTAGCATCCCCCCCGACCCTTGTGATAATCAAAAACATCTCATTGCCACCCTGGACACATAGCTCTGTTGGTTAGAGCATTGTCCTGATACATCAAGGTTGTGGGTTCAATCCCCAGTCAAAGCACATATAAGAGTCAATCAATGAATGTATAAATAAGTGGAACAGCAAACCAATGATTCTCTCTCTCTCTCCCTTCCTCTCTCTCTCAAAAAAAATCAATAAATAAAAATTTTTAAAAAATATGTCATTGCCAGATATTCCCTAGGGGGCAAAATTGCCCCCAGTTGAGAACCATTATTTTAAAGCAATACGGCCAGCATTGAGAGCTGGGATATCACTACTGTTAACTAATGAAGAACATCTTAATGAAGAACATCTTTTCTGAGAGCTCTTTACATTCATACATTCACTGCCTTCTATAGTGGTTTTTGTTTGTTTGTTTGTTTGTTTTTAAGATTTTATTTATTTCTAGAGAGAGGGGAAGGGAGGGAAAAAGAGAGGGAGAGAAACATCAGTGTGTGGTTGTCTCTCGTGTGCCCGCTGCTGGGGACCTAACCTGCAACCCAGGCATGTGCCCTGACTGGGAATGGAACCCCTTGGTTCGCAGGCCAACATGCAATCCACTGAGCCACACCAGCCAGGGCATCACTACCTTGTATGGTTTTAATCCTAATATTTCCATTTTATAGTTTGATGAAACTGAGACTCAAGACACTTCAGTGATGTGATCTAGGTCACATAGTAGTAAAAGAAAGATTTGAATCTAGATCATCTGACTTCATACACAAACTTCTTATTTGGTCTCCTGAAAGACTCTTACTAAGATTTTTAAAAAAGAGAAAAAGAAAAAGAAAAAGAGGTGGGAGTACCTCCTTTTAGGATATTTCTTTTTCCTTCAAAAAGTACTGGGAGTTCAACGTTTTGACCACACTCCCCTGAACCATAAGCATAATGATAGTAGCCCATTTTAATTGAACACTTAAAGAGTGCCTAGTGCTATTCTAACATTTCCCTCTCAACTCTTCTCACCACCTCATGATGGCTTTGGACCCAGGCCAGTTCCCAAAATGACCACCAGATGGAAGTCAGCAACAAACTTTTGCCTGGGGCAGTTTGCAGCCGTGGCCAGATCCGTAGAGGTGGCTGATTTAGCATTTAAGAAACTTCAGGCTGATGACCGAGGCCTGAGAGTGAGTCCCTGCACTATTCTCGCAAGGCGTACCCTGACTGGTTGTAACTTGTTACCACAAACAAAAAATAAAACCTGAGCTGACTTCAGGGTTCTGCTCCCCCATCCCAGCTGGGGCGGTGATGGGAGACTGGGAGACAGGAGACCTGTGTAGAGAAGAGGTGGAGGGAGGGCAGAATTATGAGCTGCCTGATGCGGGACAACTTAAGGTGCTCAGATACAAGGCTGGTGCCCCTTTACTCCTTTACTTCTCCAACGTGTTGTTTGCTTCTGCCTCCACTTCCTGGCCTCCCATTCTGTCTAGAACCCACTTCACTCCACTGAGACTGCTCTTGGGAAGGTGATCTCCACATTGCCTAACCCCAGGTTCAGTTCTCGGCCTTCTCTTGCAGGACCTCTTTGTGGCTTTTGCCCAGTCGATCCCTCCCTGTTTTGCAAACAGTCTCTTCTCTTGGCCCCAGACACCAGGGCTGCCCTCACCCTCCATTGCTTCTGCAGTGCTCCAGCTTCAGTCCCTGGTCCCCTTCTCTCCTCTGTTTCAGTCACTTCCAGCTCTGACCCAGACCCATTACAATAATCTCCATACGACAACTGCAGCCTGGACCTCTGCCCCGAACTGTGCATTTGATCAGGATGCTTCCTGCTGTAGCAGGCTCTTTGAACACGGCTCCCAACGATCCCTGCACACTCATCACCTCCCCTTCAATGTAGCCTGGGCCCCCAACAAACCCTATCAGCTTCATCTTCAATACAGATCCAGATCTACTGCTTCCCATCACCTCTGCTGCCCCCACCCTAGCCTAAGCCATCACGGTCTTTCGCCCAGGCTATTGCAGCAACAATGTACTGTCTCCCCAACACCACCCTTGTCCACTCTATGTCAGTT